TGCATATTGAATGCTAAATTCTGAGACTCTCAGCCCGCTCTTTCCTCTTGTCTTCCAGAACATTAGCAGCCAGACCTTTGTCTCTGGACAGGAGACTGGGACTCTTCTTTAGGGACTTGGTCCAGGGCAAGAGGAGATACCCTCAAAATGGCCTCGTGTTGCTCCAAATCAACAAAGCCCATCCATCCACATACTTAGAATAAGCTTTTTAATTTCTGTACTCTTTATCAATTATAAAGAATTATCTGATCCCTGAGGAAAGACAGAATCCAAAACAAAGGGAAAAAAGCAACTTCAAACAAATATATAAGAAGCAGGGAGATAATATCACATTACTGGCGTATGAAAGAATATTTTAAGAAAGGAAACACAATGCTAATGTACAAGGATCCCTTAAATTAAAAACACCCGAGGGGGGGGAACACTATCAGGAACTTGGGGAGCTCTGGTGGTGTAGTGCCTAAAACATTTGCCTTCTAATCAGAAAGCTGGTGGTTCAAACCCACCAGCCATTGCTGGGAAGGAAGATTGGGCAATCTACTTCTATAGAGATACCGCCTCGGAAAGCCAAGGAGGGGTTGCTATGAGTTGGAAACCACATGATGGCAGTGAGTTTGAGTTTTTTTTTTTTTTTTTTTAATCAGGGATTTATTACTCAAGAGAAAGATTTATGAAAAAACTTGAAGAATTCTTCTTTAACATAATACCAAAAGGCAAAGAGATGGGAAATACAGAAAAGATCCAGCATCTGAATAGGAGAAATTTCGGTATAAGGGAACAAGAAAAGGGAGGAAATCATCAGTGAAATAATTAAAGAGAATTTCCTAGAACCACCACTCCTCTATCAGTTTGTTGTACAGTGGTGGCTTGCATGCTGCTGTGATGCTGGAAACTATGCCACTGGTATTTCAAATACCAGTAGGTCCACCCATAGCAGAGCTCCCAGACTAGCACAGACCAGGAAGAAGGATGTGGCCAGATCCACTTATGGGGAAAAAAAATACGTTGGCCACTGAAAATGTTATACATAGCAGGGAAGCACTGTCTATTATAGTGCCAGCTAAGATAGGGCCCTCGGGATAGAAGGCACTCAAAATATGACTGGAGAAGAGCTGCCTCCTCAAAGTAGAGTCTACCTTAATGACATGGATGGAGTAAAGCTTTCTGGACCTTCATTTGCTGATGTGGCACAACTCAAAATGGGAAGGAACAGCTGCCAACATCCATTAATAATTGGAATGTAGACTGTTTAGACTATGAACCTAGAAAAATTGGAAGGTGTCAAAATGAAATAGAAGTTGTTAAAAATGCAACGGAACACATAAAGGTCAATTACCTAGGCATTAGTGAGCTGAAAGGGACTGGTATTGGCCATTTTGAATCAGACAATCATATGGTCTACTATGCTGGCAATGATCAATTAAAGAGGAATGCTGTCACATTTATTGTCAAAAAGAGTATTTCAAGATCTATTCTGAAGTACAATACTGATAGGATAATATCCATAGGCCTACAAGGAAGATCAATTAATATAACTGTTATTCAAATTGACATACCAACCACTAAAGCCAAAGATGAAGAAATTGAAGACTTTAACCAAATTCTACAGTCTGAAATTGACCAAATGTGCAACCAGAATGTATTGGTAATTACTGGTGATTGGAAGTCAAAGTTGAAAACAAGAAAGAAGCATCAGTAATTGGAAAACATGGTCTTGGTGATAGAAATGATACAAAATGATAGAATTTTGCATGACCAGTGATTTATTCATGATTTATTCATTGGAAATACCTTTTTTTCCAACAACATAAATGGCAACTATCTACATGGACCTTTCCAGACGGGACACACAGTAATCAAATAGACTACAAATGTGGAAAGAGGCAATGGAGAAGCTCAATATCATCACTCAGAACAAGGCCTAGGGCCAACTGTGGATCAGACAAGCAATTACTCAATATGCAAATTTAAGTTGAAGCTGAAAAAAAGTAAAACAAGTCCACTAGAGCCAAAATCCAACCTTGAGTATATCCCACTTGAATTTAAAGACCCTCCTAAGGATAGATTTGATGCATTGAATACCAATGACTGAAGACAGATGAGTTGTGGGATGACATCAAGAACATCACACATGAATTAAGCACAAGGTCATTAAAAACACAGAAAAGGAAGAAAAGACCAAAACAGATGTCAGAAGACACTCTGAAACTTGCTCTTGATTGGAAAATAGCTAAAGTGAATGGACAAAATGATGAAACAGAAGTTCTGAACAGAAGATTTCAAAGGGCAGCTCTAAAAGACAAAGAAAAGTATTATAATGAAATGTGCAAAGACCTGGAGATGGAAAATCAAAGGGGAAGAATGTACTCCCCATTTCTCAAGCTGAAAGAACTGGAGAAAAAAATTTAAGCCTCAAGTTGCAATAGGAATCTAATGACAAAATATTGAACAAAAAAGGCAAAAGAAGATGGAAGGAACACATAGAGTCACTCTACAGAAAAGAATTAGTTGATGTTCAGCCATTTCAGGAGGGAACATATGACCAAGAACCAATGGTATTGAAGGAAGAAGTCTATGCTGCACTGAAGGTATTGGCAAAAAAAACAATGCTCCAGGAATTGATGGAATGGCTGTTAATATGTTTTAACAAATAGATGCAGAATTAGAGGTGCTCATTTGTTTATGTCAAGAAATTTGAAAGACAACTTCCTGGCCAACCAATTGGAAGAGATCCACATTTGTGCCTATTCCAAAGAAAAGAGATTCAACAGGAAGTACTCAAAAGAAACTATATCTCAGGATGCATTAGATGTCTAGAGCAAACAAACCAGTTGCAGTGTGATTCACAAGAGTAGGGATGATTATACCATCTGTGATCATCATTTCCCCTGACATCAAACCTTCATTTTAACCTCTGGAGTACTGGAGGGATAAGCTCCAAATAAACAAGGGAGTAAACAAAGAAAGAGGAAAGCATCCAGGAAACAGGACTCCAACTCAAGAGAAAGACAAAGGGAAGTTCTGGGATGAGAGTGAAGGGAAATCTGGTGATGACAGATATGCAGAAGACAGAGAGAGTTCTACAAAGGAAAATGGAAAACTCCAGGCCAGATATCTCCAAGAAAATATTGAAAATAATAGATCATCTGATGTCATTGACCTTGAGGAAAGTTACCCTGGCAGGCTATTGGATGGCATGGGAAGAATCAGTAATAAAAGTAAAAAGAATTAAGGAAAAAAAAAAAAAA